TTGCAAAAGTGATACATCTAACCTTGCAAGGAGTGCATCAAATCACGATTCTGTGTGCTTGAGATAGTTGGAGATCGTTCCCGGCGCCAGAATAGCAGTTTGAATTTTTCGCCATTGACTTATAATGGTGAGGTCACGAAAATGACCTGACCTCATATGACCTTTAGGAAAAATCCGAGATATACAAGTTGTGGGACTCATAATGGATACTAGATCCTGCAAGTTTCAATTCCCTGTGACATCTCCTCTGGCAGTGAGGGCGTTGCGAAGTTGCGACATCTGAAGACCGTGCAGAGGTTCACTTATGACGTCATAGGTCAGTGACCTGACCTGACCCAAAAATGCGGTTGGTGTCAAAAGATCCGGCTTGGATCAAAGGTCAGGTATGCCAAGTTTCAGCTCTCTATCGCCAGCGTGTTCGGAGCTATCGCGAAAAAACCCTATGGGGGGGGCGGCACCCGCCCCCCCCCCCTCGGCCGGCGAGGGTTAACCCGCGCCCCAGTGCCGGTCTCAGCCAACTTCGCCCTAGTGGGGGGGGGGGGCATATGTATGTTACCACCCACCTCTAACTCAAAAACTAAGAGGGCTAGAAAGACGCGGTAAAAAGCAGTCGTTAGCTCTCAATGCGTACGTTTGAAAGTATTTCAGTCATTTTTCACCTTAGAGCAATATTGGGGTCACCAGAGGTCATCAAAGGTCAGAATTTGCCAATTGTCATTATATTTTTCAGAAAACATGCCGCTATCTCAGGAACTATGGTAGCTAGAAAAACGCATGGAACAGCAAACGATAGCTTTTACACTCTTCTTTTGAAAAGGTCATTATCAATATTGACCTCAGGTCAACGGTTTAGCCTCCAGAGGGCAAAAACTCCAAAAATAGCTGTTTTTACGAAAAGTGTTTTTCGACAATAACTTTCGACTACAAAAAGCCACGACATTTCTATTGCCAGAATCGTGTTCCCCTCGCCGAGACGCGTCGAATGAACTATAATTTGACCTTGAAAGGTCAACTTGAAAATTTGACCTCAGGTCAAGGTCATGAACTTACCGGAAAAGGTCATGTTGCATATCAATCGATGTTTCACAACAAGACAAACACAATGAGACCATCCCCAGCGTTCTATTTCTTTCCAATCGCGAGTTATTGGCAAAAAACTGTTTGTAGCCTCAAGTGACCTCGGATGACCTGTCTAGAGGCTATCAGCAAAAATGACACCTTGGTCATCACGAGTGGACTAAATCATTGTGATTCTGAAATATTTGGACTGTTCCGATGCGTACACACGGATCTAGAGGCATTTTCATTTTTCTCCATTGACTTGTAATGGAAAGGTCACGCCACTGACCTGACCTTAGGTCACGGATATAAAAAATCCGAGATATACAAATTGTAGGCGCCCATAACAATTGTACCGGGGTTACATGAGCGATCCGTTCCAAATACGCACTACGCTAATGCGCATCAGCTCCCCACAAACGTATCTACGGCACCGGTTACATGAGACTAATTCGTTTTATCTACGTCAAACGGATCTTGTTTGGCTCACCCGGGCTGACTCCTTTACCGGGGTTACATGAGCGATCCGTTCCAAATACGCACTACGCTAATGCGCATCAGCTCCCCACAAACGTATCTACGGCACCGGTTACATGAGACTAATTCGTTTTATCTATGTACGTCAAACGGATCTTGTTTGGCTCACCCGGGCTGACTCCTCGACGGCCGATAATTCGCATCACAAACGGAATAGGACTAGGGTGACCCGCGTGCTCCGCAACTCGAAAAGGGATATTTTCGATCGGCGGGTGTTCGGTTGTTCTTGTGTCGGTTGGGTTATCTATCCATTTCGGTCGATTGCTTTTTGACGGCTAAACGTTTTGGCATAGTGTAATAAATAAGAAGTGAAGACACTTCACCAATGCATAATGCAAACTCATGTAACAACTTTTCTTCAGCTGGAAGTGGGCTATGTAGATACTCACGCTGCAGTATGACGTAATAAAACGTCATAAAACGTCACTCCCTATTCCCTAAATCATTGAACTGATTGAACGTTATCCTCAGCCTACATCATCGTCTTCCATGCCCCGTCATAATGGATTTTTTAATTGACTTAGACATGAAAACCCACGTTTTTTATTTCACTAAATGAAGGTAAATAATCCCAGTCTCTTACAGAATGCCTTGGTACACACAAAATCAGAGGACATTGATGTGCCACAGCCCGATGAAAGTCCTACTCGATCTAACTGCGCTCTAACATGCTGAAAATCGTATCAGCACTCACTCTTATTCCGTAACGTTACTCTCGAGAACCCACTGTTTTTATTGCATGTATGGTCGCTTACTGAATGCATTGTGACAGAACCGGTATGAAAATATTCAAAAACAGAGGACATCATAACACCACCGGCTCCTAAAAAGTGTAGGGTATTTTGACAACGTCTCTAAAACATAACCCATTTTGATCGGTCCTATGAATGACATAGACTCGAGAACCCATGTTTTTTATTGCATTTAATGAAAGAAAATAATCGTATCTTCTTATAAAATGCGTGAAAATATTCAAAATCAGAGGACATCGATATGCCACAGCCCGATGAAAGTGCTCTTCGATCTAACTGCGCTCCAACATGCTGAACATCGTATCAGCATTCACTCTATTCCGTAACGTTACTCTCGAGAACCCACCGTTTTTATTGCATGTATGGTCGCTTACTGAATGCATTGTGACAGAACCGGTATGAAAATATTCAAAAACAGAGGACATCATAACACCACCGGCTCCTAAAAAGTGTAGGGTATTTTGACAACGTCTCTAAAACATAACCCATTTTGATCGGTCCTATGAATGACATAGACTCGAGAACCCATGTTTTTTATTGCATTTAATGAAAGAAAATAATCGTATTTTCTTATAAAATGCGTGAAAATATTCAAAATCAGAGGACATCGATGTGCCACAGCCCGATGAAAGTGCTCTTCGATCCAACTGCGCTCCAACATGCTGAACATCGTATCAGCATTCACTCTATTCCGTAACTTTACTCTCGAGAACCCACTGTTTTATTGCATGTATGATCGCTAACTGAATGCAATGTGACAGAACCGGTATGAAAATATTCAAAAATAGAGGACACCATAACAGTACTAGCCCCTAAAAGTGTAGAGTATTTAAACAAAGTCTGTATTATACGAGTCATTTTGATCGGTCTTTTCCTTCACTTTGACTTGAGAACCTATGCTTTTTATTGCGCGAAATGAATGAGAGTCATCGCATGTTCATTGTTCCTATTGAATGCATTATAATATGAAAAATCAGGGGACATCGATGCGTTTCAGCCCGGTGAAATGCCCAGTTGATGAATAGCTGTTTGGCCCATTTTAACACTGCGTCGGCATTTACACAGCTTCCGAACGATATGCCTGATAAGAGAACATGAATTCTTAGGTATTGCGAGCTGTGGGGCCTGTCCCTGTGTTTTACGCTATACCCAGTCTGGCATAAAGAAGACATTCTTAGCTTGTGAAGATGTGTAATAAAAATAGGTTTTTGGTCTTCTCATTATGTTTAAGTGATTTTCATTTCAAGTTGCGTGTAGAGGGATTTATTTTCAGTGTTTTGTAGAAAATAAGGGTGAATTAGCTGTTAAAACCAACACTTATATAACTACAAGCTTGGATAGTAACTAGTTTCTTGGGTTAGAAGTTTTCACTACAGGGATGAAACTTTTGCACTACAATGACGAAAACGTCATCAATCGTCATCAGATATCGTTGATTTTCTGTCATTTGGTGACCTGACCTTGAGAGGCGGGAGGTTCAAACCTGCATACCATGTGTAAAATTGATGAGGTCAGCGTCAGTCAGCGCGGTAGTGATGTCAATTACGGAAAATCGGAATACCGATACCAAACCAAATACCAACCAAAACCACGGGAAAATAACGAAACCAAACCAACTTGGGAACATTTTGATTAATGATTAATGACCTTACCCTCGTAGTTTGAAAAAGTTAGATCAAAACACTTGTTTATTAATAATTTCGAGCACAGCTCTTCATCAGAATACAAAGCTAAAAATGTCACGATAAAAATCCAATCTTAGATTAAGATTGGATTTTTATCGTGACATTTTTAGCTTTGTATTCTGATGAAGAGCTGTGCTCGAAATTATTAATAAACAAGTGTTTTGATCTAACTTTTTCAAACTACGAGGGTAAGGTCATTAATCATTAATCAAAATGCTTTAATATGATCCTCGCACAAGCACTGAGAAACTTAAACAACTTGGGAACATGAGGAAAATACCAATTTTTTACCGATTTCTTAGCCTCTTAAACATTAGCGAGGGTTCATGATACCAACAAAATACCAAACACATTAGGATTGAAATACCAAATACCGAGTTGGTATCGGTTTGGTATCGGTATACCAAAAAGTTGGTATCCGATTGACATCTCTAGTGCGCGGGCTAATTATAGAGCAATGGGCATTTCAAACCTGCCATGTCGGCAAAAACCGTTGACCTTTCATGACCTATAACTTTGACCTTAGACGTCACCCAGGTCTAAACTTGCTGGATATGTTTGTGTTTTTAGGTGCGCCTAAGAGCCTACCAAAATTCATCAAAATCTAAGGGGGTCGTGTACATGCGTGATCGATTTGACGTGGAATGACCCTATAGCTATAATAATGAGTCTCACTTTCCGGGTTAGTGCAGCTCGATGTTAGAATGGCTATAAGAATCGACAAAGGAGTTCTCACTAACACTTACAAGTTACAAGTGTCACTTGCTTAGTGCGACTTTTAATTTGGCCATGATGTGGCTATAAGAACAAAATCGTCAATTTCAAGTGTCACTTGGCTAAGTGACCTTGTAAGTAGGGCTATAAGAACCGGGGCCTGAGCTGGATTTGGACAAAAACTGCTAAGACGTCAATCAAGTCTTATTTTATCCCTGTGTAGAACTTGACTAGCACCCTGGCTTTTTTCCAGGTGTCGATGGCTTTGAAGACCTCGTGAATTTAAACCCAGATTTCATTAAGTTCCAAGACACTTTGTTCTCGGAAAATGCCAAGACCATGGAGCGCGCCATACAGACTCAAGATGTCAACGATAAACTGGATCAAGTGATTGATGAATTTCTGTGCCTTCTCTGTCCTTATTTTCTGCTGAAACCAGCCCAAAAGGCCATGGAGTGGCTCATTTACAGGTGTGTAGTCATACCTGCCTTGACCTAGGAATTTCTCCTGCATGCTTATTGCAATCACGGAGTTTCATCAGTCCTCTCCATTGTTCGTCTGGTTTGCTGATGTCTGCATCTGTTTTCATTGAATAGTGCCTTTGTACATTCACAATGCACTTGCTTGTTTATGGTCTTTTTTGCCTTCTGTATTCTGGCTGTCTCAGATCGTCAGCAACCCATTACTATGTTCGGCTTGATACTTTGCTTCGTCTACAGATTCCACATTCAAGAATTCAACGTGAATGCTCTGCTCCGCTGCATCTTTCCGTACCACGACACAAACATCTTCGCGCGAGCGGTGCAGCTACTTCAAATACAAGACGAGACCGACAGATGGCACTGGCTGCAGCCGCTCCAGGACCCCGGCGTGCCTCTCAGCAAAGGGGCGCTCTCGGCGCGCTGTGCCGACAACCCGGCCTTTATGAAGTTCCTCTGTGTCATGAATAAGAAGCTAGTGCAGGTAACATGTTTGACTTCGACTCGTTAGTCTCTGTGGCCTGTTTGCGAGCCGCGAGTGACTAAGCTGTGGTGCATGTCAATGCGCATCAAATGACATGTGTACTTATTTGATTGGGCTGGCAAATGTGGTTGTACATCAGAAAGAACGCATTTAATTAACCCTCGCCCGCATTGGTATTTGTCAGCCGTGAGCGTATAGGTCCAGCGTATACACTGTAAAAAAAGTTTAGCTCCCTTTGCGCTAAACCGGTGCTACTAGGGTGGTATTCAGATGCTAAGAATTTATGATGCTTAAAATAAGCAGCATTTTATAAAGCGGATGCTAAAATATAGCATCACATGCTTGATATAAGCATGCTACGATAAATGGATGCTTGGTTTAAGCTCCCGTTATAAAATAGCATAATTAATTATAGCACCTTATAATAATGAAGGTGTTGCATACTAGCACCCCATTTCATTATCTTGGAAACATCAATACATGGTGCTAAACATCTGCTAATTAGCTCCTTAGGTGCTAACGTTGTGCTACACTGAAACACTGTAAAAAGATTAGCACTTTTGGTGCTAAACAACTGCTATTAAGGTGCTTAGGATTAGCACCTATTCCGATAGAACCCTGGCGTACAACCAGGGCACTGAAGCTTCAAACGTCACACACAGATGGCGCTGTTTCATACGGCTTTGAATTACTGCGATTTTTGATTTTTTTTGCACCACTGATATAGTTGCACTTTTTTTTTACGTTTTCCAAGAGGGGCAGAAGTAATTTAAATAAGATGCATCTTCAAAACCTCTGCAACATTCATCACGTGACTATTGGCAACGCTTTTGTTCCGAAACTGACAACTGAAACCAATTCAATTCATTATATATGTAGGTCACAAAAGCAACGGCGAAACATCGTTGCTTTCCCACGCGATCGGCGTGACTGGTGGTGGGAAAAGTATCGTATTGACATCGTTTGGAAAATGTGGACGCCTACATTTGTAGGAGCTCATCTCCCTTCATGGTGTGACCACCTGTGATCGGTAATGATAAACTATATATATATATATATATATATATATATATATATATATATATATATATATATATATATATATATATATATATATATATATATATATATAATAAATAAAAACTCAGCATATATCGGACGTTTCGTGTTCGGTTTAACACTTAATCGGCGATACTCTCTCTCTCTCTCTCTCTCTCTCTCTCTCTCTCTCTCTCTCTCTCTCTCTCTCTCTCTCTCTCCTCTCTCTCTCTCTCTCTCTCTCTCTCTCTCTCTCTCTCTCTCTCTCTCTCTCTCTCTCTCTCTCTCTCTCTCTCTCTCTCTCTCTCTCTCTCTCTCTCTCTCTCTCTCCTCTCTCTCTCTCTCTCTCTCTCTCTCTCTCTCTCTCTCTCTCTCTCTCTCTCTCTCTCTCTCTCTCTCTCTCTCTCTCTCTCTCTCTCTCTCTCTCTCTCTCTCTCTCTCTCTCTCTCTCTCTCTCTCTCTCTCTCTCTCTCTCTCTCTCTCTCTCTCTCTCTCTCTCTATCTCTCTCTCTCTCTCTCTCTCTCTCTCTCTCTCTCTCTCTCTCTCTCTCTCTCTCTCTCTCTCTCTCTCTCTCTCTCTCTCTCTCTCTCTCTCTCTCTCTCTCTCTCTCTCTCTATATATATATATATATATATATATATATATATAATATATATATATATATATATATATATATATATATATATATATATATATATATATATATATATATATATATATATATATATATATATATATATATATATATATATATATATATATATCTATCTATCTCCCTTCATCTCCCTTCATGGTATATATATATATATATATACATATATATTGGATAAAACAACAACCGATGACCCAAAGCATCCTGCGTAATGACTGCTCGACCGTGACTCTTCATGTCCATAGATGCTAATGTTATGCTTGCACTAGTATGTTGGGGTATAGCATGAAGCTATTTGCGTGCTAGCTGAAGGTGCTAAGCGCTAAGGTGCTAAACAAGTAGCACCTTCTGAGGGCTTGTTTTTGACCCTAGCACCCTCAGTGTGCTAAAAAAATACACCCTCCAGGTAAAAAAATACACTAATTTTTTATCACCCTTCGGGTCTTAGATATGAGGCACTATTTAAAAAGCATCTTGTTAGCCCCATACAGTAGCCATGGTGCTACGATGTTTATGGTGCTAAAAATAAACAACTCAAATAGCACCCTCTTAGTCTGCTTAATTTAAGCCGGTGGGTGGTGCTCGTTTTTGACCATGGTGCTAAAGTGCATTTAGCTGCTTGGAGGTACTCAACTTCTTTACAGTGTAGGCTGAACCAACGTACACTGTAAAAAAGTTTAGCTCCCTTTGCGCTAAACCGATGCTACTTTTTTTTTTCTTCAAACTGATCTTCAGTATGTTGTTTAACGTATACTTACTTCGCCTGAGTCACTCACTCACTCACTCAACCGATGCTGCTAGGGTGCTATTCAGATACTAAGATTTTTTGATGATTAAAATAAGCAGCATTTTCTAAAGCAGATGCTAAAATATACCATCACATGCTGTATATAACATGCTTCGATAAATGGATGCTTGTTTTAAGCTCCCGTTATAAAATAGCGTGATTAATTATAGCACCTTATACTAATGAAGGTGCTGCATACTAGCACCCCATTTAATGATTTTGGAAATATCAATATATGGTGCTTAATATCTGCTAATTAGCTCGTTAGGTGCTAACGTTGTGCTACACTGAAACACTGTAAAAAGATAAGCACTTTTTGTGCTAAACAACTGCTATTAAGGTGCTTAGGATTAGCACCTATTCCGATGAACCCCTGCACTGTAAAAAAGTTAAGCACCACCAAGCAGCTAAATGCACTTAAGTACCATGGTAAAAAACGAGCACCACCCACCGGCTTATGTTAAGCAGACTAAGGGTGCTATTTTTTAGCACCATAAAATCGTAGGACCATGGCTCCTGTATGGGGCTAACAAGATGCTTTTTAATTACCTCATATCTAAGACCCGAAGGGTGATTAAAAATTAGTACCCTGGAGGGTGTATTTTTAGCACACTGAGGGTGCTAGGGTAAAAAACCAGACCTCAGGAGGTGTTACTTGTTTAGCACCTTAGCGCTTAGCACCTTCAGCTAGCACGCAAATAGCTTCTTACTATACCCCAACATACTACTGCAAGCATAACATTAGCATCTATGGACATGAAGAGTTACGGTTGAGCAATGTGATGCAGGATGCTTTCGGTCATCGGTTGTTGTATTATCCAATATATTTAGCTTATCAATACCGATCACAGGCGGTCACACCATGAAGGGAGATGAACTCCTACAAATGTAGGTGTCCACATTAACGAGACGATGTCAATTCGGAACTTTTCCCACGACCAGTCACGCCGATCGCGTGGGAAAGCAAAGATGTTTCGCCGTTGCTTTTGTGACCTATATAATGAATTGAATTGGTCTCAGTTGTCAGTTTCTGAACAAAAGCGTTGCCAATAGTCACGTAATGAATGTTGCAGAGGTTTTGAAGATGCACCTCATCAATATTACTTCTGCCCCTCTTGGAAAACGCAAAAAATGTGCAACTATCAGTGGTGCAAAAAAAAAAAACATCAAAAATCGCAGTAATTCAAAGCCGTATGAAACAGCGCCATCATGAAGACATCATCTGTGATCAAAACTAACACGATAGGTATTCGTGATCAGCACCCCGGAAAACCCCTTAACAGCCACACTTTACGACTTTCTAGCAGGTCCCAATTTTCCCGACGTTGGGTCATTGACCTGACCTGGAAGGTCAACCATTGACCTAGGACCTTAAAATTGGGTATCATCGGCTTCCTCTCGTCACGGGCAACATGCTCGTTTTCGAAGCTCTAGCTTGATCAGGGGGCGAAACGGCAAGGGGGGTCCGTTGGACCCCCCCTCCCTTGTACGTTCGCGGCTGGAAAAGCACCAATACGGGCGAGGGTTATGTTGCTCATGTCGTGAAGCAAGAGACCCCATTTAGGTGAGAACGAACTTATGGGACACCCTGTAGCTGACCAATCCACTTAGGTATATTAGAACAGAAACGCTACGTCCAGTGTTGTCCAGAGCTTTTCCAGTGTTGGCAGCAGGTAGGCTACTCCGGTGGTGGCTAAAATGCAGACGCTAGTCGCTACCTAACATACAATTGCATGATCGGAAATGATTGGACATATTTTGAAAATTTGTTTTCCATCTTTCTACAGCAGCCAATCAACCCTCGCCCTACTGGGCCTGCAGGCCAAGAAAAGCTCAAAAGTAGTGCCAGGAGACTGTGGCAGGTGTCTGTGGCAAGACCACATGCCAGGCAGCGCCTCGGATTCGAATTTCATAAAAGAATATGTTGGCAATAAATCGCAGCTCGTCAAAGCGGAGCCCTGTTTCGGTCTCTTGGAGCCCCTATGGGCGCAAATTGACCGCAGTCGGCGCGCCCTAAAGCTCCAATAAACACACAAACAAACCTCTTGGAGCTCACTACTCACCTGGTCAGCTCACCTGGCTGGGTTCCCATTTCCGTTCTGAGCCCAAAACATGGTTAGGAAAAATGATATTTAGGAACCCTGATCAAAAGACGCGCCAGCCCAGACAGAAACACGGCGCACATGATAATTAGTAATTACCATGCAATATGGTGGTTGGAATTTGGCGTCTTCCATGAGCACGAACATATGATAATATCGACAGCGCAACATATTTATCATTGGTGCCTCCGTAACGCGCGTATGTCTAGAAAACTGCACAACCGTCAGTCAGTGAATTCGTAGAGAGTCTCGCCCAGCGCATTCTCCAGTAACTTCTTGAAGCCAGCTAAGTTAGTTGCGGTCACAACATGCTGTGGCAAAGCATTCCACGCAGCTATTCATCTCACATTGAAGGAGCGTCTCCTTACATCGGCGTAAGACGTCGGAATGAAAATCCTGTAGCAATGACCTCGCGTGCTGCTGTGTGTAGGACGTTCAAACAAGTCAGGGACATCTAGGTAACTCTTGCCATTAAACAACTTCCAGCACTGAATAAGATCTGCCCTCAGCAGTCTGCCTTTGACTGAGAAAAGCTGCAAGGCACGTAGTCTACCGCCGTAGTCAAGTGTCTCAACCGAAGCGATCTGTTTGATCGCCTCGGTTGAGACACTTGACTACGGCGCATGTCAGATCGGTGGGCAAGCTTCTAGCCTGCTACGCTGCAGAGCAGCAGGGTTGAAACGTGGTGGTGGGGCTTGAAACTCGTGAAACGCAATGTTATTGTTTGTTAGTATGGGCGCAAACTGACCTTGTAGTCGGTGCGCACCTAACCCCCAACAAACGAATAACGGTTAGTGTTCAATGATAACGGGCAACAACATAACATTTTTTTTTGTGATTCAAGGAATAGATTCTTGTGAATTGGAATGAAGACGGAAGTAAACAGGGTCTACTTCGTTAATTTCATTTGTGGCAATTTGTGTTAAAGAAATGAATAACTGATTTAGCTTTGTAATGCCATGTAATGCTTACTGTTATATGGTCAATGGTGATTACCTAGGTACAGGTCTCGCGAGATTAAGCGGTAGGTTTTGCACTTTTACATTTCCGGTTATATCTCAGAAACTAATCGATCTACGATGAAGCCATTTTACACGATCATGGCCGGCTTATTACCCAACAAGTCGATCGCATCTTCAACACTTAAAAGCTTATGACGACGAAGATATAACCTGAAGTACACTAAATTTTCTAGGTGCAAAACCTACCGCTAAAACCCGCGAGCCCTGTACAAGATGATTAGTTAGGGCTGATGGGCATGGTTTGCCTGACCAGCCTGACTGTGTGTGTGTGTTGTGCTATGTGCGTGGTGCTGTGTGTGGAGCAGTGGTGTCGCCGAGTGGCCGAGCCGGTGCCGCTGGGGTGTGCTGAGCTCTGACCGGCTCCCCTGTCCCCTGTCCAGGTGCACGGTGGCCGCTCCGGCGCACTGGAGGCGCCCGTGGCGCTGTTCGCCGGCGTCCTGTGCTTGGCGCTGCAGCGCACCGAAACTGTCACCGAACGTCAGGTGGCGCTGCTGGCGCCGCACGTGCTGCGCTGCGTGCGCAGTCCTCTGACGCAGCTGCGCGCCGCCGGCTACCTGTTGGCCGGCCAGCTGTCGCGGCGCGCCGGCCTGTCGGCAGAGCTGACCGCTCGGCTGCTCACGGCACTGGTCGAGGTGGGTCGGAGCCTGTGTCGCCAGCGGCCGCACCTGTCACCCGGTCGGGCGGCCGGGGAGACCGGTCTTAGCAGCCAGACGGACCAGCTTTTATAGTATACTAGAGGGACAGCATAACATTATGTAACATTACGCGCAGCGTAATAAATCAAGTTTCATTGTATTCGGCCCAGTAGCAGCCGAGTTAATGCAAGAATAAATTTGGTGACTCCTCTTGGCCAGCGGTGCTCTGCGCCGGTATTCATTGTCAAAGGTCAATGACCTCCAGCAATGTTTCCGCTCGTGGTTTTGCCCAGGTGGGTGACGGCACGTGATCGCCTGAGGCGGTGGGGTAAAAAATATTTTCGTCATTTAATGTTCAATGCAATTGCTGCGACTTTTTACAAGACCTCCTCGTCGTTGTTTTATTTCAACGACTGGTCCCCGAGTGGTGACTATTCTCACGCAAGATAGGATGAATGGAGCTAGCAATTAAGCCCAAAAACATATCGAAAATGCTACAAAACACCTCTTTTGAAGGAGATGAATTGAATGGTTTTGGAGCCTCACGAAACATGTTTCAGATATGACGCGTCACACAAACTTACGCATAGAGACTGTGTTCAAAAGTGTGAGCGGCAACTCCGCAAGCACTTGTTGACGAATGAAAAGCGTAGGCCGTAGGTACTGCCCGGTCGCCATAGCAACAAGTATGCGTCACAAATTTCGAACACTATCCGAGTGCGCCGAGTTCGACTACATCGAAGGCGATGGGTGATGGTTGCCAGCTGATTGAATTAATGAAACGCGAATAAATTCAACTTTTGTTTGATGTTGCTAGTAAAATTGTTTTTATTTCAAATATCATTGAATTAGTTTTTGTAAATAAATAACTACAAACGCCTCTGTGCAAAGTGTTTCAAGAATAAATCAAGGCTTATGAAAATCGTGAGTAGGGTTGGGAAAAGCAGGAAAAAAGGATCATGTGACTGCCAAAGGTCAGTGGCTTGCTGGCTCTGATTTCGCTCAGTTTTGCAAGCGGAGAAACTGAGCCTAAGCCGCGTGCTCTCTGCCCGGCGCCGGCCGCGGCCAAAATGCCGCAAAGATGCACCCACCACGTGCAAACCGCCGAGCGCACCCCCACCAAAATTTAATACGACAAATGGTTGCACGCGTCCGACTCGGCGCCAAAATTTCACCCCTGCAACCCCCACCGTCGCCTCGCAACAGCCCGCCAAAGGGAACTGACGCGTTACATACATACATACAGGGTGTCCCATAAGTTCGTTCTCACATTATGTTTGCATGTGAAACAGAGTACATTGCGTTTTGGTATATTTATGACCCCTCAATGTGCTCCCCATTTAATAGGCAAACACATGAATACATGCTGCGGCATGCCAACCGACATGTTTGGCTGCATAGCAGGCTTAAAGTTAACCCAGACTGACTTGACATGCGCCGTGAGCTCCTCGAGGCTGGAACAGCGCTACGCTTCGACGAGCCTCAACTTCAGCATAACCAACAAATTTTTATGAAATTTTGATCCGATGAGGTGCCTGGCATGTGATCTTGCCACAAACGCCTGTCACAGTCTCCTTGCACCGCTTTTAAGCTTTGCTTGACCTGTGCACTGATGCACTGTCTTGCCTGAAGATGGGCCTACGACCTCCCGGATGCCATTTTCTCCTCTATAAATGTGTTCATACTCGCGGTTCGAGTTCAGCTTGAGGGCTGAAATTCCTGCTAGATGTTCTTGGAAAAGCATTCTGCTTCCCAAAACTGTTTCTGGGTTGTCACTTGTAACTTGATCAACTCCAGAACGCCTATAACCCCACAACACAGTGACCCTGGCCTTTTGCATAGGAACATAACGGGACGAAATGAAGGCCTCCTCCTTCGCCCTTATGGGGTTGTTTTCGGGTTTGGACGGGTGTTTCATCTCGAATGTGGACTAGTTAGTCCAGATGACCTGGTTGATGTCATCAGCCCTCTAGTTTTGTTTAGCCTCAGGCATAACGAAACTCATGTTTAGCCATTTTAAGACGTTTTTGACTGTTTTGTGCCCTCCGGTAAGCAAAGCTTAAGTCACCTTGAGTTATGTACCCCGAAAGAACACTCTTAGACAGCTGGTAATCCATCCTGAAAAGTCTGTTTACCAACTTTCTAACCCTTTGACCTTTTTAATGGCCACTTTGGCGCCACACAGTTTTGGCCACTTGGCTCATTCCTGAGGGCTGGCTAGAAAGAGGATAAACTTGCAGTGATTGACTCCCAACAAATCATCGGCGTCACTTGCTGACTGTGCGTCCAGTTAGCGATGGATATTGGCTACAGACTGGTAGGCCTCAATCACCCTCAATCGTCACGAATGGTCACGTGCTGACTAAATACTGAGACGTACCCGTATCGGAGACCTCTATGTTGCGGCGTTAGCCGTCTCTGTAGGAAGCGGGCTCTCTAGCAAAAACTATTTTGTCTACAGAAATTAGCTACTGTGGAGCATATTTCTACCAGCCATGGCAACCATGTAAGCTCAGTTACGAACCAATGTCAACGTGCCTTTAAGCAAGAGAGCATAAAAACGTAAAATTTAGGTGAGAACGAACTTATGGGACACCCTGTACGTACCTACAGACGTTTTGATTTTTACATAGGCAAATTACGTGCAGCGTAAAGAGGGACAGCATTACGCGCAGCGTAACAAATCAATTTTCAATAAACAGCGGCGCCGCCACGCTTTTATGAGCACTACGTACACCCGCATGCTGGTTAGTGGTATAGGCTCAGGCACGACACCCAGGGTGGGATGAAAATTTTCCCAAGTTCCAAGGTGCCTATTTCTATTTATAACATCACCAAAACCTGAAAACTCTCCGGATTCGTCCCACTGATTGTCGAGAAGTCAACATTTTCATTTAAAATAATACAAAATGAGTAAAACGAATGATCTAATAAACACCCAGCTGACCAAGGGAAAGACGGCTGTCCCTGCCGTCCCTCCCTTGGCTTCGAACCGGTTGCAGTCTGCAGAATGATGTATGTAGTTACAGTTGCACTTACACTATGGGGGCCTGGGGCAGAAGCATGCCTTTCCAGCCGGCGAGTTTGTGATGGTGAAAATTTTCTTCGGGACCACCTTCATAAATAGCAATTTCGACTGTTATTTGAAAACATTTGTCCAACTATTCTGTAGTCAGATTAATCCGAAGTCCTACTTAATCCTTTTGTCTGTTTAGTCGAAATGGCTTGAATACAATAAACAAAACAAAGCAACTCAGATTCAGACTCGGTATTTTCATGTTACCTATACACTGCCTTTCTGAAGTTGTAAGACTCCTAATGGATACTAGGTCCTGCAAGGTTCATTTCCCTGTGAAAGCTCCTCTGGGAGTGAGGGCATTGAGAAGTTGCGACATCTGAAGACCGTGCAGAGGTTCATTTTTGACTTCATAGGTCAGTGACCTGATCTGACCCGAAAATGCGGTTGGTGTCAACAGATCCGGCTTGATTCAAAGGTCAGGTATGCCTAGCTTCAGATCACCGGCGTGTTCGGATCTATCGCGAAAAAAACTATGGAGGGGCGGCACCTGCCTCCCCCCTCGGCCGGCGAGGGTTAAGGCTCTCAGAGACCAGTACAGGGCCTGCAAAGGGCAGTTTGAGACGTTTAGATGCCGACTTGGGCCATCAGAGGCTAATGTGGGTCCTTACAGGCCATCATGGGCCCTCAGAGGTCAGTGTGGGACCCTAAAATACCTGCATGGGCTTACCGGCATGGGAAAATACCGGCACGGGATCTGAGGGCCCGCAGTGCGGGGCCCTCAGATCCCATGCCTCAGATCCCATGCTCAGAGGCACCTAAAGGTTAGTCTTGGGACCCCAGAGACAGAAATGATGTCACCAGAGGCCGGAGTGAGGCCCTCAGACGCCGGCTGGGCCCTTGAGGCCGGTTTAGGGGCCCTCAAATGCCAGTGGAGGGCCCTCAGAGGTCAATGTGGGTTCTCATCCCTCAATGTGGGCGCTTGACCGCCACTGAAGGGCCCTCCGAGATCAGTGTAGGACCCTCAAAGACTGGTATGGGAGCTGTTAATAGCTCTGGCGTGGGTTTCTTGAGCCTCGTGACAATCGAATAAGGGCCAGAGCCCCATACACCCATGGGGGTCCTGCCCATTGGTTGTTTGGGGGGGGGGGGCAAATGATATGATGGCCCCCTGATTAGCCTTTGGAGGGGGGAAGGGCATGGTCCTGATCCCCCCTCTGCGACCGCCACTGCACTGAAAGTGCGAAGGGGGAGGGGCAGATACCCACAGACATTGCTGGCCCCCAGCCTGTTTGAACCGAGGCAGGGGGCACGGTCACCGTGGCCCCCAGCTACTACGCCTGTGACGAACTATGCCGACTCCAAGCAGATCCGGTCAAGCGTTGGTCGTTTGTATACGCATTCTCCTGCACCTTACTATGTAGTATTGTCTTATTCCTTTTCAGTGCCCGCTCATGTCCCGCGTCTCGTATTCAACAAAATGCTGCCACCAGGACTCACAGTTTTGTCTCTGATATGGTTTCCTTCATTGAGTGAAGGAAATTGCGGTCAATAACGCTGTAGAAACAAAAGGGAATCTTCATTAAAGGGCAGGTTGAATAGTCGTCAAGTTCTGGTGTTTAGCCCGCGCCCCAGTGGCGGTCTCAGCCAACTTCGCCCTAGTGAGGGGGGGCATATGTTACCACCCACCTCTAACTCAAAAACTAAGAGGGATAGAAAGACGCGGTAAAAAGCAGTCGATAGCTCTCAATGCGTACGTTTGAAAGTATTTCAGTCATTTTTCACCTTAGAGCAATATTGGGGTCACCAGAGGTCATCAAAGGTCAAAATTTGCCAATTGTCATTATATTTTTCAGAAAACATGCCGCTATCTCAGGACACTATGGTAGCTAGAATAACGCAGGGAAGAGCAATCGATAGCTTTTGAACTCTTCTTTTGAAAAGATTATTATCAATGTTGACCTCAGGTCAACGGTTTGGC